CAAACGTTTGGTATGGAACACAATTAAATCAAACCCTAACTTCTCCATTTACTTTAGATTATTAATTTGTTATTATATACAATTTTTCGAAAGAAAATTAATCCACCGTCCTTAAAAATGTTTATAAGAACAATTTTTTAAAAAAATTTTTCAAATTCCATATTAAATTAAATTAGTTTACATAAAACTAAACGTAGAGAGCATATATCAATGATTTTCTGAGCAATATGGTGACTAGAGATGAAATGAACAAAAAAAAATTACATTTTATGTCTCATATTATTCACATTACTAAAAAAAGTTATTTCAATGAATACTTGCTAACAAATTTATAATGTTCTGAAATGTTTTTTAAAAGGTAAATTAATAAAAAAAAATTATTATGACTTAATAAAAGCATGTAAAATGAAACGAAAAGAATAATGTTATTGTCTCAAATTGTATAAATATTTGATTGAGCACATATTATGCATTCGATACAAATAAAAGTATTATAAAATAATATTAAATAAAATATATTAACAATATTTATGTTAGTTATATTTACATTAATCATATATCGTCTCCTTTAAGTTCCTCTCTGCAATATCCTCTACTTAAACATTCCAAATTAATTGAATTTAGTCAAAAAGAAAATTTTACTTTTAAGCTTTTTGTGTTGTTAGGTTCAATCCATCTTATCAAACTTTCACAGCCATGGAGGACAAAGTTTGTTTGGTAGTAAGATTGAAACTATATAAATTATAATTATATGGATATTAATTGTTTCATCTCTTATTCTATATAATAAAAATATATATAAAATAATAATAATAATGTGATGTATTGATATTCTCATAATTACTTATGCCTAGAATAGTTATGCAATTTATTAAGTCATGCTTTCTTTTCTTTATCTCAATTTCTATATATTTTTTTTTATTAGATAATTATTTAATAACATTCTACATTTTTCTCAATAAACTCATGTTGAGTTTCGTTTGTTTTCAACATACAATCTATGAAAGTGTAGTCTTTTTAATGATAGCTTTGAAACATTACAAACTCTTTTTATATTTTTCAAATTTTATATTTAATCAAATTATATCACATAATATTTTTTTAAAAAAAATTATCTATTTTATATAAAAATGACTATTTTCAAACTAGCTAGTAAACATGGTATAATCCTTTCAAAATAGTATTAGGTGAACAAAAAATGGAAAGGAGATTACAATACGAGAAATCGAGTCCTCACTAATAAAATGATAGTTCAGATGATCAATCAATTAAACTTCTAAGTCATTGCTTTATTAGATTTCAAATTAAACTAATCTTGAATAATCAATCATAAAATAAATGACTAATTTCATATGATTAGAAAATTATGAGTTCAAGCTATAAAATTAACCTTTCATTGAAACCGAAGATAAGACCACATACAACAAATCTTATAATCCCATGTTTATTTTTTTTATTATGAAAAAATGATAAATATACTCCAAAATTATAGTAAATAATATATAAATATCTTTCGTCATACTTTTGGTACATTTCAATGCTCGTGTCATTCAAAAACTTAAACATATATGTCTTTTAGTCAAATAAAAGACGAAATAGAGACACATCACACGATGTTATTCGTCGATACAACATTTAATAAATGTCGAAACAGTGGATAAGATAATAACATACGTATGTCCGTTAATAGATTATACATGCTATAATTTTTGAACGATAGGTATACCAGTACCTAAAAAATATGATAAAAGGTATTTTTATACAATTTACGATGATTCTAATTATTATACGTAGCGAAAATTTAATATACCAAATTCCGAAGTCTCAAATCTTCCCGCCAAAATGTGCCGACCCAAATAGATGTAAACCGCCGCCTATTTTGAAATGTGAATAATACGCGGTCTTAGGTGGAGCCCACGTTACACAGCTCAAATATTTAGTTGGTGCCACCCCATATTTAACTGTCAATTTATTTTATTTTTTATAAAAACAATGAAAAATACAATATGATAGGAGTAATTATTTTAGCTGTGATATAAATTTAAAATATTTGTAAATTTATGAATTCTAAATATTCTATTCTCTTGATTGATGGGACATATACGACTATTTCGTTGGTCCAAAATGCTCAACAGAACTTTTATGATTTTTTAATATTTAAATGTCCCACTCATAAAAATTTCAATAAAATTACTCAATTGTTTAATTTCTTACAAAATGTTTTCTTAACCGTCAAAATAATAGTATTTAATTTTGATTTTTTATATGTTCAACCTATTTAATTTTTAAAAAAAATATTTTTTGTACCATATGTATTATGTTTAGGCTATTTTTAAGAGTATATTATCATCATAAAATAACAATATAAATTTTCGTAATATATATATAATTAAATAGTGAAATGATTAATCTTTTAAAATATTTATAAGTAAACAGAATAAAAATGTACACTTCAAACAATTGAAAGTTATTTGTGCTAAAATCGTGACAATTAAAATCAAAATTTATTAATAATTAAGATATTAAAAGGTGGTATTTGAAATTCTATATAGATTTAAAAATAATTCCATAAAAGATATAAAAAAATTGGAATACTTTTAATTATTTTTGCTAAACCTTTTATAAAACTCACAATTGTTATCTCATATTTATAAGCCCGCTATATTACAATAGTGAATATCACACATGAAATATAAAAACAATAGACAAAACCTTTGAGCTTACAATTTTTCTTTTTTATTATTTTTCATCCGATATTCAGTATTCACATTGAAGTTCAAATAAATTCAGATTCACGATGAAAAGTTTCACGTTAGGAGGTAAAACGCTTCCTAACAAAGGCGGCTCATATCCAAAGAAACTTAAATTCAAAACCTCTTGATTAAAGATGAAAGAGTACTTAACACTCCACTACAATCCTCATTAGTAAGCTACATATGCAATTGAAGAGATATTAACACGAAAAAACCTCTATTATGAAACATCACATATTAGCATCGATTCAGACACCTTTAATTTTTTCGAACATATTATGGGCCCGTTTGGCCATAAATTTTGCAAGTAAAACTTGGGGAAAAACTTGGCAAATTTTGTTTGTCCATACACTTTTTTATTATTTGGCAAATTATCCAAATTCCCAAATACTAGAAAAAACTAGTATTTGGGCCAAATTTCATTATTTGGAAAGTTTTAGAAATTCAATTTTTACCCTTAACTTTTTATTTTACAAAAATAATATATTTATTGACACCAACCAATAATTTTTTACGTGAACATCAAAGTAGTGATGGAATATTCAATGAATATGAAAATGATGATATGGTTGTTGATGAAAGTGACGAACTATTGGCTCAGGGTAACAACATCGCTTCATTTTATCAATCATCTGATTCGGAAATGCAAGCTCATCGAGAAGAGATTGTTCATAAAATGTGGGAAGATTATATTAAAGAATAGGTTGAACTCTTTCAGATGAGAAAGCATAGGTTCTTTAGTGATTGCAATATTTATTTCCTTTTGTTTTCTTCTCTTTTTTTTCCCCGAATTTATACTAGTTGAATTTTCATTATCATGATTTGTACCAAAACCTTTTCACTATACGAATATTTACTTAATGATTCTTGTTGATTTGTTGCGGAAGGCATAAATCTTGTTACGTGAGATTTCTATTGTGCTATGTAATACAAATTTATGGTTAGTTTGATAGTTTTAAAAACTTATGGGTATAAATCATATTTCTTAAAAAAATGAAATATGTTTCTCAAATTCCATGGCCAAACACATGGTAAAATTTCATCCAAATAATATTTGCTAAAAATATTTGAATATCTATGACCAAACGCTAGCTATATATGAAATTTTTTTAAAAAAAACTCTAAAATAAAAGGGGAATTGTATTTTCAATTTGCCTGATTTTATTTGCATTACAAATTCATTCCCTCTCTCCACACGTTCAAACTTGCCCCATTTTCAGTCAACACGTTCTCTGTTTTTCCCTCTCATCCATTAAATAAACATCAAATTCTCAACAAAAATTACTTGTTTTTCTTCTGCAATTTGTAGAATAATGAACATGGATATGGAGGAAGAAATGTGTACAACACCAAAAAATCAAGAATATCGAATTCAAACGCCATTAGAGTGTCCACCGGCTCCGAAGAAGAAGAAGAATGAAAACAGAGCAGCAGGGAAAAGGTACAAAAAGCCCAAAATTACAGCCTATTTTCATTCTCCTGATCTTGATGCATTTTTTGGCGGAGACGGAGCTAGAGTTTTAGTTATGAGTCCCGCAATTCAATAATCGGGAACTCTCTTATCTAGAATTTCAGCAAACTATTATTTCTATGATTTCGGATCCAATAAGTTGTTATTTTTCTTTTTTTAGAAAAATTCATAAATTTTAAATTTTAAATTTATGATAGTTATTTAATTTAGCGAGGTTGTAAAATAGCATATAAAGTTTGTTTGTTTGTTTTTTTAATTATTATTTTGGGCGGATATAATGTATGTTATGTTTGAGAGTGAAAAGTTTGATTACTTCAAAATAAGTATTTATGATTATTTTAATTTCTTTTTAAGAGTTAAATTAGCGTGTGATTTCACTAATTAATTTTCTTTTCTCTTGCATATATTAGTGATTCATTTGATTATGTAGAACAATGCTTCCAAATCTGTGTTTTGCGTGCATTTACGTTCGATTGATCAAATATTTCGAAAAATCAATAAATTTTGAGAAATAAATTTCTTAAAAATAATAAAAAATGTCATCTTTCAGTTCATATTAATTACTATATAACATTCCACTCTCCAATATATTTTATCTTTCACCTATATCCCTAGTTTTGTTTCCTACATCACAAAAAAAGAAAATCAAAATATCTTTAATAACAAGTAATATATTTTTATTCGTATCAAACACTCTCAAAATACTACGAAATAAAATGATGTGAAAAAATAAACTTATGACCTATGAGAATAAAAAGGTTAATATTTAGCAAAAATTAAAGTTCCAACATAAAAATGGGGAAAATGCAAATGACCCGTTTATTGGAATTATATGGATTTGAGTCTACTAATTCACTATTTCTGCCCATGGATCCTCCATTCTGTTGGATCTCATTTGGGCCACAAAGGAAGCGCTCGATTGGGGGGGGGGGGGGGAGAGAGTTTCACATATGGTCACTCAAAAATAGGTTCTTATTACTCTCCATTGATATAGTTTAACAATTACAATTCATAGCTACATGTTATAGAGAGGCGAGCGAGAGAGGGCAGAGAGTTGGAGAGAGATGAATTGTATATGAATGTTAGTTAGATAATTGTATATTATACATATGTATTTGTATCTATGGAAGAGAGATTGAGAGAAGTAGGGGAGGAGAGAGGCGTGCGAGATTGGGAGAGAGAGGAGAGAGGTGAGCGAGAGAGGGCAGAGAGTGAGAGAGAGGTGAATATATATGTATATTAGTTAGATAATTATATATTATACCTATGTATTTGTATATTCTGGTGAATTATACATATACAAACGTGACTAATTAATTATACAAAGTCGAAGTCAACCCAAATAATTAATGTATAATATTAGTGGCGAGTGGTAATTATAATGACTTATAGCTATGATAAATAACATAGTAGTATAAGCTTGCTCAACCACATAATTTTTCCATTGAAGAAATATTAGATGAATCCTTATGGCACGGATCCTCCATTCTGTTAGATGAATGGATCCTTAATACTTTCAAAGAATTACGTATCTTATCAAGAATTAAGAATTTTTTACTATACATAAAGAAAAATATACATAGGTACATATATTTATGTTATTACCAGATACACTAAAAACAGGAGAGAAACGAGTAGGGTGAGGAGGGAGCTAATTATGTATCCCAAATATATATAGGAGAGTGGCGAATGATATGGGAGGGAGAAGAGTGAGGTGAGCGAGATTTGTCTATGTATCTTATATACATGCAATTCCACTTGGATGCAATGTATTTAGAACAAATTACACCTAATTTTTACCTAATGTATCTCGAATACATGTGTCTAGACATATGAGGGAGTACACACCAAAATATGATAAAAATCGTAATATTGCAAACTAGAATGTATCTAATTAGCTCCTAAACTCGTTAGATTTTTATAACTTTTCTATTATTTAATTAGACAAATATTCATAACATATTTACTAAATCCTACTATACTTTAAGATAATCGCATAATCTCGCTCTTTCTCTCTTTTTCTTTTCTTTCGTCTGTGTTTTGTCAGATTATATATAAATGCTCTTAACATGATAGGTAAAAAAAATCAACTTATTTTTTTAATAAAAATAAAAAATCATACCAAACACTATTAAGTTTATCAAGTCCAAATTAAATATAGATAGTTAATTTCAGCATAATAAATGTTATTAGTAGGGACTTTGTGGTTGGAATAGTGTAATCAACCTTTTAACAAGCAATTAGGTGGACATGCTTTTGGAATAAGAAATAAGAGACAAGGGTCAAAAAGAAGGTCAATGAAAGCAAAAGAGAGGTTGTATTTACTAGTAGGTGTTTAATTTGTTTATTGTTGGATTAGTCGGATATAATAATTAATCATTTTTGTCAACACTAATTAAGGTTGTATACTTAAAAATTAAGTTCAGACTTCAATACTGATATAAAAAAAAATAGTAAATCCTTTTCACCCCTCAAGTTGTTTTATAACGTGAATAGATTTTTTTTTCATTATTGGTTTAATAACATGTCGTGGAAATTACTAGTGTTGTTTTCTAGGCTGCACATCAACTGATATATACGTATATATATTTTAAAGAAACTTAATAGGGTTTAGAGAGATAAATGTAGCTTTTTAGTTACAAGGTCATCTAAGTTCATAATTTTTATACGAATGGTGTGCATGTACAGTAAAATCTCTATAAATTAATGTTCGATAAATTAATAATCTCTTTAAAATAATATTTTTCTTCGGTTTGGGTTTGGGAATGGAAACAATCACTAGTTTTGATAAGATAATATATTTTCATAAGATCTCTATATAAATATATGGTCCCATTAATATTATAAATTAGTAACTTTTTAATAGTACAAATATATCTAAAGACATTTTAGTGAAATATGATTTTACTGTGTTCTTTTCAATATAAAAAATTTAAATCTAGTTGGAGTTTATCTGTAACTTTTCTTATTGCATCCATGAGCTTCACTGTTGTCTTTTCGAACTGCACCATAATATTGTGAAGAGTTCTAGCTGCAGTAAGTCTATCTTTGTGCATAACTGATTCCAAATGTATATTATTTTTATCAACTTCATCATTAACATTGATTTTTCCAATGGTATCCGCAATTTCTTCTAAGCTTTGTACCTCTAAAATGAATCACTTTCACTCGGATAATCCATCAGGTTATTGTCATCCATTTTATTGTGGTAACCGAGATCATTAACCATGACCTCAAGTTCATGGATGACATTTTCCCAAATAGATTCATTCAAATTCTCTGAGATTGCATCTCCCAAATGAATTTTATAGTGTCGAAAATAATTTTCTATTCTGTCTTGCTGAACATTTGTTGTTCAAACAGGGATTGCAAAATTAATAGCATCCAAACATTGATCTTTGCTAGATATGTTTGTTTCACTTCATAGTTTTCTAATTCCTACGGTAAAATTTGTTCGATAATATATCTTGAAAGCTCTTTTATCGCAGTATCACAATGTTGAAATTATGAGATACAATGATTTTGATGCATTTGTTGTACTTTATATATATACTATTTTTATGTGAAATCAATAAATATGATACATAAATTTGTAAGACACAATGATTTTGATTTTATCAAAATTAACCTTCATTAAATCTCAAACCATTCTTATCAATCTATTAATATCTCTATAAAATATTAAAATTTCATGATTCCACCTATATTAATTTATAGAGGTTTTACGGTATATTGTTACTCCTCGTTCCTTATGCATGTTAGACCTACTAAATTTTAATTTTGAATCTACTTACTACTATAGTAGGCGTAACTATGAATTCAAGTGATATATATACGGAGATATAAGAATTTTCTTGCATAATTGGTGTAATTTAATCTATAATACGTTTAAATAATCTTTTTTTTTCTTTTGTAATTTGTTAGTGTATATATAAATGCTCTTAGAATAATAAGTAAGAAATCACTTATTCTTTTCAAAAAATAATTTTTCATACCAAACACTCTTAAGTTTACCAAGTCCAAATTAAATATAGATAATTAATTTCAGCATAATAAATGTTATTAGTAGGGATTTTGTGGTTAGAATAGTGTAATCAATCTTTTAACAAGCAATTAGGTGAACATGCTTTTGGAATAAGAAATAAGAGACAAGGGTCAAAAAGGAGGTCAATGAAAGCAAAAGAAAAGTTCAATTTACTAGTAGGTGTTTAATTTGTTTCTTGATGGATCAGTCGGATATAGTAACTAATTATTTTCGTCAACATTAAGGTTGTATAACTAAAATTAAGTTTAGAGTTCAATACATATATAACCTTGAGGGGTAGCTTGGCTGGTAAAGGCCTGAGGACAAAGTTCTTCAGGTCGCTAGTTCGAATCTCAGCAGGGCCCCATTCGACCGCGTTTCCAGGGCTCCGTAAAATTAATCGTGGTGCACTCGCCATGAAACAGCCGTATAACCTTGAGGATAGCTTGGTTGAGGTGTTTTTTTGTTTTGTTTTTGTTTTAATTTAATTATCTCTTTTTAATAATTTAAAATTAACATTATATTATTTTAAAAAAATACTATAGCTTGATATATTAAATGTTATACAATGCAAATCAAACTCTTACGCCATAACTTGAGAATATGACTATATAAAATGCTATATATCTAATTACACTTACATTAACTCAATTACTACTAAATATTTTTACGATAATAAATATAATCACTTAAAGAAATCTATTACTACTAAAAGTGGTCAAATATAACCACATCCCAATGGATTAAGGTCCAAAATTAGAAATCAAAGTAAAAACGCAATGTTGCTAAATATGGTAAAACATGTATTTTCTGTAACCACCTATAAAAACAAATATTACTAGAAATGATGAGATGAACTGTCTCTGTTCCAATTACTTTATGAAACTTCTATTTTTAGTTGATAGTAATTTAGAGAAAATATAATCAAGGATTAAGAAGTTAATTAAAATTGTAGCTATCTGAATTATAATCTTGCCTTTGGAGCAAATATATCTTAATCCTTTCCTTATCATGATTATTGA